TAACACAGTATGGGAACTCAAGCCTGAGCACTTCTGATATGGTATGATTATCATTACTGGAGAACAAGTTACAGTGAGAACCTCACTGAAACTGCCAATTCACATGTGCAAGTGGGACTACATTATGACATGTAACGTTTCACTTTCACTGTAACATATAGCTGATAGAAGTGAAGAATGCTCTCTTTTGCTCCCAAACTATAATGCTTAGTCAATACGCATTTCTAGACTCTAAACAACTGTAGGAAACTTTCATCCATCTAACACACTTTGTATTTGCACAACTCACCATGCTAAAATATGATTGGCTAGTTTACAGTTCAGCATCCAGCACAGGCAGTTTATTATCAAGTATGTTGTCTACACTCAGGCAATTAAGTTCATTCAGTAAAACAAAATTAGCATGTTGCAGTTCAATAAACTACAGTTTAACAAGTTCCACAAACAAAGCCATGATCATACTTACAAAGTTAGTGTAGATTATTCATTCCATTAGATTTAGTCAACTGTTACTGCAATTACTGGAGCTAATTGCCCAACATCACCGTCAGAGTGATTTATGATGAAGGAACCTAGATAAAAGCATGGAAAACCTGCCTCACGCCATATCATGTGTGCTTGAATCCATGCTTGTGTAATCTGGCAAGGATAGGTACGATTCCAGACAGGCCTCAGCGCCAGAACACGTTTTGAACTGCCGTGGTCAACTTGAAACGTGTGAAATGTAGGCACAGAGTACGTCCTTGTCAGCGTGATGTAGCGCGCCCCCCAAAATAAAACAAGCCAGAGCAAACCTAAAGCCTCGCCGTTCTCGTTGAAACCCTGTGAATTGCGTCCCGTACGTCACCTTTTCTCTCCTCTTGTCCTCACCTTACGGTGCGAGTCCGTCACAACCGGATAACACAGCCCAGCACGTCCAACAAAGCCTACTTCGTTCCAGAAACACCCGCATCCCTCCCTTCCTTGTATTTCTTCCGCGTCTGCTTCTCACCTGCAATCAACTGCTGATGCTGTTCCAAGGCAGCCTCTGCCTCCTGTAGCCTCTTTGCCTCCGTCTCCATCGGCCGTCCCAGGGCTCGCTGCGTTGCGCCCCGCTGAGCCATAGTCCCCCTCAGCGACAGAGCCGACCAAGTAGCCGGCCGGCAACAAACAGGCCCGGATCTACCTTCCTCCGCGCCAAGAACCGCGAGAGGAGGCGGGGCCGGTGACAGCACCTCCCTCCACGCCACCACCTCGCCTGATGTAGTTGGCGCAGGCGCAGAGTTGACATTCGCCGTGGATCGGAGTCTGCTCCCCTCCTCCCAATTGTTTTGTTCCTCGGTTTGGGGTTGAGGGAGGCGCGTGGTGTTTCGCAAGCGGACTTCCCTTTGACTTCCTTTTGCAAAACGCCTAACCGAAGAAACTGTGAGTTGACCAAAGTACCTGCGATAATGCAAGAGTATGCAGACGTGCATGCAATGTGCCCTGAATCTAGGAATGTTAACCTAGTCACACATCCCCAACGTTGTAAATAAACTAAAAGAAATGCCGTGGTCTCTCCCACCTAATGTAATACAAAATAAACAATACCTCCCCGAAGTGGAATTATGTAATCCATTCTAAACATGTATACTCACAAATTCTGTTCAGTGCAGAGATTAAAAGGTGAGGTAGAAAATAAGGTAGGGTTAATGTTGGATTAGAAATTAGTTGAGGGATACAGAAAATACGTTTCAAGGATGATGCCTGTGCAGCACCATCCTACAGCTGACATTGGATGGCTGCCGATCCAGTGCAGCTTCCCTCATTCAAAGTAAGGCAGGATTCAATGCTTGGTCAGCAACCCAGCTTTTAACTCATTTACAAAACACTGCACTAAGCAGGAACAGAAGTATTCCCACTGAATCCGAGTACTGTAGTTCATTGACCACAATGTATCAGTGCCTGATAAGCTGCAAGTGGTGGCAGTGTACATAGGAGATCAGGTCAGCATTGCTGTGAGGGTGCCCCTCCCCTCCCCTCCCCACAAAAGACCCAGCAGAAAGTGTAGTAGCAAAGCCGGGCCACAGTTTCAACCAAGGGCCCAGAGGTCGACTGGTGGATGCCAGACTTGTAATAACATCAGCCCTGTCTCTGACATACACAACTGAGAGCTAGAACCATTGCCATGAACATGAGGGTAGCTAACACATACATCCTGTGTAGCCCCATAACTCTGCTTAGCGTCACTGGTGGTAATACAGTACACGTGGGGATAGTGGCAGAGGTAATGAACCCTGACTAGCATTAAACATCATGGCAGGTGTTTGTGCTATCTATCTATCTATCTATCTATCTATCTATCTATCTATCTATCTATCTATCTATCTATCTATCTATCTATCTTCTCTACACCATGCAAATATTACAAACTGCAACCAGGCCTCCACATGTTCATCTTTTATTGAAATGAAACAGTTAACTTCCTCTTGAAGGATATTTTTTTTAATCATATGAAAATTATGGTTGCCCTTTTCTGCAGTCCTACATTATCTGTTCTGGGATGTGGTGACCAACCACAACTGACAGAGTATTTGTATAAAAGCATAATGATATTGGTGAGTTATTTTTCTTTCCTTTCCCTTCACCTAATACAGCTACTGTACAACCTTTTCTCCAACAAATACAAAGCACTGAGAACAAACAGGGCTATTTAATACAACTATTGATTGGCTACAGGCATCTCAAGCAGCAGTCATAATATTTCCTCATGCTGAGGACGATTAAAGAATCCAGTTTAAAACAACCCAGGCAATAATAGTAATTATATAGCATGACTTTCATTTCAGATCCAGTTTATTTATTTATATGGCTGCCCATCTCTGGGCAGCTTACAATAAAATTGATAAAACACATCTAATGCAAAAATAAAACATAAAAATACATAGCAGCTGTGAATCATAAAAAAGACACCATTAACATAACCAGGAGACAGGCTCTGTCCCACATCCAGGGCCCAAGGCTTGGCCTCAAAACCAACTTTGATGTAGAGGTGAAGTAATTTCCATGTAGTACTGTCTCAAGAAAACCAGAACAGGATATACAGTACATGACTTGGTAACTGATGCAATATTTGTGGGAGTTGTGCAGTCTAATAAAAGGCCAATGGCTTTCAATACTGAAAAAGCAACATCAGCTGTCAACTTCTGTATGCTGTAAATTAGTCTTCTCCAAACTGGTGCCTCTAGGTATGTTGGACTACAGCTTTCATAATCCCATGTCTGTAAAAGAAAACAGATTAGGGGGAGGCTGTTCTGCCAGGCAAATTTAACAACTTTGGAAAGGGTTGGGAGGATAAGGGGAATGCTGCTTTCTACATTCATCAGAGGAAAACAAAGAGCTAAGAAACTGGTTCCCTGCTCAGTGCAAGGCTCTCCAAAATTAAAAAAAAACTTCCAGGAGAAAAGTTTGATTCAGTTACTGGCCATTTAGCTGCTACTAACCTTAACTTTTGAATCAAGTGAGAAAGCTTATTCTTTCTTTAAGACTGTAGCTTTCTGGGCTCAGTTGACTCATGTTTAGTTAGGACTTGGATAGGAGACTTCCCAGTCCCTCCTGGGAACTGCAAAACTTGCCAGAAGGAGTCACTGTCAAACTACTTTTGCATTGTTGCCAAGAAAACTGCATGGATGTGTCCATGAAGTCACCAGGTGCTGAGCTCTCAAAGGACAGTTTACTTTTCATGCAGACAGTAATTACATGTGATGTTGCTAAGGGAGCTACTGGCTTAGTTCTGATACTTTAGTTTCCTCCACCATCGCCTCCTGTTTCTGTAGTACATGTTCCTTTATGAACTTTAGGCAATCCTTCACACATTTTGCACATTTATATTTTAATTTTCTTTTATTATGAAACTAAAGATACTGTTCCCAGATAGGCACCCAGTCTTGGAACTGATCAGACCTCGCTTGGTTTAATTTCTGCAAAGTGACTACAGGAATCTTCTGCTGGACATGAGTCCATGTTGTCATCTAGTTGCTTGGAATACCAGAAGTGCCAATATAAGAAAGAGTTTTGAGACACCACACCTGAGTCTAACTTCTCTGCAATTTTGCAAATGTGGCAGCGGAAGTAAATTTAGAAGGGGAGAAAGAAGAATAAGGGAAAACAATGCCAATTATTCTTTTTAAAAAAATCTTTTGAAGGTTTTAAAAGTATCGATCAATGTAATTAAACTTAACCAAACTTGCAACAATTATTAAAATTTAAAACATTTTAGGAATTAAAAATGGATTAGAGCAAAATAAGAGCAAACTGCAGAAAGACTACAGTTTCACATCCCTGTAAAATGTGTTGTGCTTCAGAAAGAATTTGATGCTACACTGAACTTGACATTCTAAAGAAGACTGACATTCTAAACAGACATGGATGAGCCAATTCTATTTTAATCAATCTGTTGTTTTAATATTGCAAATGTACAATGCAGTAAACTATACTTCCTCATCCTTTAAGTTAACATAGTGGCAGAACATTGAAACCAGATAATTAACAGCAGAGGTTGCAATGGGTAGAGTCGTTTGTATTTAATTTTCTTCCATCCTCCCCTATTGCAAAGATTCTAAAGTCATTTAAACAATGCATTAACATTCTTTAACATCTAACTAAATTGAACAACAACTTCTTATCTTGGTTCAAAAACAGTGTATATTTCCACTTTTTGTTTTGTGGTGGGGAAAAGGGATGTTGCCTCCATTATCTTTAACCCACAAAAACAGTCCATTTTGCCCATACTTTTCTGCTCAGTAGCAAAAACCCATTGTGCAAAAAAAAGCAGCTGAGATCTGCAAGTTAACTGCAACATTATGAATTCAAAGCAGAGATTTGGGTGTCTTTGTCATTCATAAAATAAGTCAAAGCTATGCTTTAAATTCACCTTTGTCTGATCTTTCAGCAATCTGTTGTACACAAAAGACAAACTAAGGATCATTTGAAGAAAAAGAAAAAGACTGGAGAAATGTGATGCTTACGCATCTCCTACTGGCTCTCACATAATCCAGGTTTAGCAATTATTTGCAAATAAGGTGTCTTAGGTTTTTAAAATTATGTATCATGCCTGTATGCCAGAGCTTAGGTGAACAGAGAATTAATGCAGATAATAAACCTTCATTTATTTAATATTTCTTGCCCTGTTTTATTTGATGCTGTTGGTAGGAAATAAGGGTGGTATGGGGATATGTAAGTAAGAGCATAGTGGCCAACAGCCTTCATAAGTTGAAGAAAAGCAGGAGCCAGTAGGTCATTATGTACCTATTACGTTGCTGTACAGTATTTTGCATGTGTGTGTGTATGTATGTATGAGAGAGAGAGGTATCTAGGCATGAAGGAGAATCCAACATAATGTAGTATAGTAGTTAAAATAACAGATTAGCACTAGGGAGGCCCAAGACCAGGTCTTCATTTTAGTTTGGAGCTTGCTAGCTGAGTTTCGGCTACACTAAATTTCAACTCAGCCAACCTCACAGAGTTTTGATTTGAGATTACACTGAAGAGAAATCCATGTAAGCTGTCATGGAAATTTCCCATAAAAAAGGCAGGAGATACATGTAAGATAATATTTCATCAAGTGTTAGAAGCTATTTTTTTTCAACTGATAATTTACTTCTAATTCCAACACTTTCTAACAATGTAAATGAGGTTTAGATGATCAAAATAATACTATGGAAATAGAGAAACTAAATCCCAAGCAATTAGTCAGTTTCTTTAATCACATTATGTAACTATTTGCTGATTTTCATTTTTTAAATTTTTCTAATATAGCAAACTAAGAACAGCAAGCTATAAGAAATGTTATGTCTTGCATTATTTTTACAGTTAGATCAAGTGCATGTTAACTTAGAATTAAGAGCTATTAAGAATTGGTGTGCATTCTGCATAACAACAGAACCTAAAATTAATTCTTTAAAGTAACGTTTAAACCCTAACAACTATATTATTTTATTTTATTTTTTGATATTTTGGTATTCTTCAACTTATTATGCCATTTATTTATTGCAAGCTAACTCTAATCCTAACCATTATCAGTTTGAAGTCCCCCAGCTTTGTTGGGAATTCAGCTCCCATAATCTTCCAACCAACATTACCAAATCCTGGGAATTATGGATGCATTGGGTGTATAAAACATGTCATAAACAAGGATATGAAACTCTATAGATTAGTAAAGCATGAGATACCATCACTATGTCAAAAA